GGCTGGTGGCTCTGCTTGATCAGAGCATGAGGAGCTGAAGCTCAGAGCCTTGAGGACCTTCAGTGAACAATGCCAGCAGCAGGCTGGCAGGGTGCCTCCGAACAAGCTAATGAATTGGATACCAGACAGCAGGCTAGGGCTAGAAGTGAAAGGTGAGGAGGCCAGAGTTGAGGGAGTTAAGGAATACTGCCAGCTCTTGGGCAATTTCAACCCCAAGGCTCTAAGCCAAGGATGGGCCACTGTGCCTAAAATAACCTCCCAAGAGGGTCCGACGGATCATTTTGCAATCTATTCCAGCACTGGCTTTTAGGTCAAGATAATCAATATTGACTGGGGCCCTTTTATAGATTAGTACCATAAAAAAATACAAAGGTGTGGTCCTACAGAAAGAGAGGAAGCAAACCTACCAAAAACAATGAGAGCACTGTATATAAGCCAGTGCTTGTTCTAGTGCCAAGCTACGCAGCTGGAGCCATGCAGGCAACTGAGATTCACAGAAAGGACAGAGCACGGTGTGCTGGCAAGGGACTCGGGCTTCTGAGAGCTCAAGAAGGAAGGCAGAAGAGAGGACCCCAGCTTTTCAAGAAGAAAGCAGTCTGAGCAAAATGACAGGAAGGGTTGGTAAGAGCTGGCTGCAGCAGCATGGGGAATGGACTTTTTCTTGGCCTGAGAAAAAAGCCTCTTCGAGGAACACAGGGGTCTTGTGGGAGAAGAACAAGAGGTGCAGTTAGACCAGCAGGAAAACCACACCAAAGAGGTCCCAAACACAGAGAATATCAGGACATGCAAAGGCAGCATGCAGAATCCAGGAGTTCACTAACTCACGCTTTACCAGGCAACTAAGAATAAAATATTTTTTAAATGAATGTTTGAGAAGATTATTTATGTGATGGTCATGTTTGGGGTGGATTAGATGGCAAACGTTATCACTACCCAAACCCAAATGCTTTTGTCAGTACTGACCAAACGTCTTGACTGTGTGTGAACCTACCGAAAATCAGGCCCTTCCTGCTGAGCATCATAGTCCCCTGAAGAGATTATTAAACCCACATTTACCTACTAAGGACCCATTATCTGCCAAGGTTTGTACTAAGCATTGGGGACTTACTAAAGAGAAAAACAAAGTTCCAGCCTCATGAAATACGTCCTCCAGTGGGAATGAAAGCAAGTTGACCATTCTATCAACCCAATGAGCAACAGCACTGAGTGGGTCTGGTCCGATGCTGTCGCTGAGGAAGGCCTCGTCAAGGAGCCAAGAAAGCAGTGAAAGGAGGCAGCTCTGCTGTGAATATGGATTCTGAGAAGGGGTTATGTTGGGAAGAGTGCAAGAAGGTGATAAGTCTAAGACCAAGCACGTTAAGTAGACTGCTGCAGGAAACCCGCCAGAAATGTCTGACCTCCACAACTCTGCAAAAGCAGAGGAGACAAAGGTCAGAAGTACAATTTAAAAAGTGCTCATCTGGGGCTGTGGGGCCGGGGCAAGGCACCTGTGCAGCCCACACAGGGACCTGGGTTCAATCCCAGTGCCGCAGAACAAGTCCTGGATTTTCCACGAGGCTTCAGTGCCAGGAAGCCCTTTCTCTAAAACTATCTGATATGAAATGATTGTGACTCAAAGAGAATTGGAGACATAGTTGGTAACATGGTAGATTTTTAAACATGAGGACTTGAAATTGACCCTAGACTCCTCTAAAAAAGAAAGAAAAATAGGAGGAAGGAGGAGGAGATGAAAGAGGCAAAGGAGGAGGAGAAGGTGAAAGAGGAGGAGGAGGAAGAGGGGGAGGAAAAGGAGAAGGAGAAAGAGAATGAGGAGAAAGAAGAGGAGGAGGAGGAGGAAGAGGAGGAGGCGGCGGCAGCAGCCACCAGGTGTGGACGCACACACACAATCCCAGCACTGGGAAGGCAGAGACAGGGGCTCTCTGGAGCTCATAAAGCAGCCTACCTGGTAGAACTTGTGACTCCTAAGCTTAGTAAGAGACCCAGTCTCAAAGAAACAAGGTAGACAGCACCCTGAGAAATGACACCCAAGGCTGACCTCCAGCCTCCACACACATGTGAACAAGCCCCCTCACACACACATGCACACGCTCACACACACATGCCCAAGGTGGAGTGGCTGAGACCCAGGACTACAGAGTTTTTTAATTAGGTGTAAGATACAAAAATAACCTATTCCTATGTCCATTCCCTCTCCTCCAGGCTCCTGGAACCCAAGGCGCACACAGGGATTTTGTGCATGTAGCAAGCAGGTGAGGAATAATGACGATGACAACAGCAGCAACCACAACACAACAGGCCTTGTGTCTGTCCCTGCCTCAGCAGCAGAGGACAGCTGGGAACAGCCCTTGCTCTTTGGCTAGCCCTTGGGTGACTTGCTGCCCTTTGTGGTTTTTCCTCACCAGATGCTACTGATGTTTCAGTGTGCTGAGAAAAAGGTTTGGAAAACAAACCAGATAAAATGCAAACTGCCTCCTCCAGCGTCTCTAGAAAGGATAAGGAGTGTTCCTATAAACTTTTACACAGAGGAGTGACATGGAAACACACACTCCCACTCCCACCACCTGTTACGCTATGTTATCCACAATCTACCATTAAAAGGGTCCAGATGAGGCCCTTGACCTTGGACCTCCAGAACCATGGGCCAAATAAAGCTTTAACTTTATATAATTTAGCCACACTGAGGTACTACATATTAGCAGCAGAAAATGGAGCAACTCAGGAGGGGGTGTAGATATCCTGCTCAGAACTGTCTCAGCTTTAACATGGGAAGTCCTCACCAGCCGTCAGCCAAATAGAGGGTGGGTCACCTCATGGCACAACTGTAGCCTGTGTGACCCAAAGTCTGACCCCTCTAAAATCGGAACCAGCCCAAGCTTCTGCCCCTGGCCTCCGCGCCTCCCATCCATAGGCTAAGGGGTTTCTCTCCAGAAGACTGAGTTGTGCCGGCCTCCTGCTTCAGTCCCTGCTACTCCCTCAACAGGCACCACCAAATCCACCAGTGGCCTCAGGCCTATCACATGCTGCGTAGCCACAAGTGGGGTCAAGGGTCAAGGGTCAAGGTCAGGTTATGTTAGAGGGGAAGAAAGGTGCTCATCGGGCACAGCCGTGGGAAAGGGGAGCCTGGAGTGAATTGTGGTCTAAGTCATAGAAACAGAGGATACTTGCTGCCCAGTCAGTCGGTTTTGGAGTATTGGGTCAGGACCTGGGCTGACTCACACTCTACACAGGGAAACAGGGGGTGCCCTCCTATTGAGACACACATCATATTCTTTCCCAGGAGCCACTGTGTCTGGAACCCTCACAGTTGTTGGGAAAGGTCCACGGTTACTGCTGCCAGCTACTAGCCATGCTCCAAAACTATCAGGAAGATTTAAGAACAATGCCAACACTGAAGTTAAGTTTGGCTTAGACCCTCCCTACAGAACTTTCCGGCTTGACAAGGTTAAAAGAATAATAAGCCAAGCAGGATCCTCCAAGAATAACCTCCATTTGGCCTGTGTTGCCTTGATCATTAATATATCAACTGAAGTGTGAACTTTAAATTTGAAACGTTCACAGCCTTGGCCAATCCTCACCTTTGACAAGTTCTTATCTGCAGGACTCGTAGCAGACCAAAGGCTGGTCAGTACTGCTGCCTGCTGAGTCTGGGCAATGACCTCGGACCCCTAGGAATGGCGCCTGGTTCCCTCTGGCTCTGGACTCTAATGGGGAAGGATGACCACGCTGTCCAAAGATTGCATCAGTGACCTTTGCAATTTTCTGGGCAGCTGGTTCCCCTTCCTCCCCACCCCGCCCCCTGCTCCAAGCCCTTTGGCTTTCCTGCCTCTCCTTTTCCCCTACTTTGCTAATTCAGGTGCAGCAAAAGCCAAAGCCGAATTAGAGCCACACCACCCAGGGATCATATTTAATCTTAATCCAACGGCTCCCAAGAGCACTCCTCACCCCAAATCCTCGCTATAGAGGTCTACAGCACTTCCTCCCAAACCTGGGCAGGGGGCATGAATCATCGCAAGAGGAGGGAACACCTTCACTGTAGACAGAATTTCACCACAGGCCTTCTTCAAGGGCTCACCCCAACTTCAGTTCTTAAGTTAACACAGAAAAGAGCAGTGTGTGTGCGCGCGTGTGTACAAATATATATGGCCCACACAGCCTAACGCATACTAGGTAAGCCCTCCACCACTGAACCATATCTACAGCCTTCTTTTTATTTTTACTTTTGACACAGGGTCTCAATAAGTTTCCCAGGCTATGCTTGGACTTGCCATCCTCCTGCCTCAGTAGCTGGGAATACAGGCCTGTGCTTTGGACTCAATGGCTATTACAGAGGAAAACCTATGGAATCACAGTCTCTCTCTCTCTCTCTCTCTCTCTCTCTCTCACACACACACACACACACACACACACACACACACACACACACACACCTCCATGCATTAGAAGGAACCCTCACAGAACAGCTTCTACTAGGTGATCAGTAATGTTCCCATGTCTTAGTAAAACCCGCCAGCCAAGAAGGCAGCCTTCTAGATGTGGGGGTTTGGGTTTTGGTTTGCCTGCTCACTGCAGGGGTCTCTCCGTTGCCTTCCCTCCCACCCACACCCTCCCGGACAGGTGAGGTGACTTTCTGAATGAAAATGAAAACTCTCAACTATGTGGAACCCCAGATTCCCCCGTTAGGGGCTTTCTCGGGCTCCTCCTGGAGCGCAGGGGGACTCAGGCACCTGCAGACCGGAGGACAAAGCTGTCCTGGCAGGGAAGCATGCCCGTCTCCTGGCGGGGGTCCTCCTCTTTAGCTGGATACTAAAGCAGAACCGCCCGGGCGGCCCAGGGTCTCAGGGCGCACACAGCAGGGGCGTGCGCTGCTCGTGCTCACCTCCCAGGCCCCGTGGGCGCCCCTCCTGTTCTTCCCCCTCCTGCTGCTTCTTTTCCTGGCATCGCAGCCCAGGCCAGCGAGCCAGGAGGCGGATCCCGGGCAAAAGATATAAGGACGCTGTTCGCTGGGATTGTCCACTCCGAAGAGCGGCAGCTGAAGGAAAGAACACCGAGGCCAGTCTGCCGCACAGACGCCTGCCCTCTGCCAGCAAGTGCTGCTCGGGCCCCTCTGCGCCCTAGGTAGGCCTCCAGGGGGAGGGCAGGGGAGGGCAGGGCCCCTCCGCAGCGGCTTCCCCTCTCCCGCTCAGGGTCCCTGCTTTGCTGCTGTCCCCCGCCGGAGAGCTCAACCCCCTTCCTCCGCTCCTTCCTCAGGCCCCGCCACCGCAGCCCAGAGCTCAGATGGAGAGCGTGCAGGAGCTGATCCCGCTGGCCAGGGAGATGATGGCACAGAAGCCCCGAGGGAAGCTGGTGAAGCTGTACGTGCTGGGCAGCGTGCTGGCGCTCTTCGGTGTGGTGCTCGGCCTGGTGGAGACGGTGTGCAGCCCCTTCACGGCCGCCAGCCGGCTGCGCGAGCAGGAGGCCGCCGTGGCGGAGCTGCGGGAAGCCCGCGAGCAGCAGGCCCTCCGCAGGCAGGCCCTGCTGGGCAAAGGCGAGGCCCGGGAGGCGGGCCGGGCCCTGTCCCTCCGGCAGCACGCCTCCTAAGGAGGGAGAGCAGCAGAGGAGGGGCGCCGCACAGAGACAGAGACTCACAGATCATGACCCCGCGGGTGAGAGCGGAGCCGCCACCGAGCCCAGAACTGACCCTGCGCAGACCACCCAAGGGGTCTGGGATTGACTTTTGCTGCCATGCAGCAGGCACTGTGATTTGCCCAAGGCTGTGGGGGCGATCAAGGAGCTGTCACTTTGCATTAGGAAAAGAGCCGTGCTTTTTATACTGTTATTTTTATTGTTATTATTATTATTACAAGGACTACCGTTTTGCATTTTGAAATAAAAACATTTTTATACTCTGCCTCATTGTCTAATTCCTGTAAGGCGTGGTGGCACTCTCGCCCAGAACTGTGGCTAGCCCCATTCACACCTGCGCCTTGAATGCTGCCTGGCACAAGTCTAGACACAGAAGAGTGAAACTGTCAACAGTCCTAACACCGAACAGGTGTTAGCATTTTTGGATCACAAGATAAATCAATTTCTCACCGAGAGAGAGACTGAATTTCTAGGGCAGAGAAAAAGTGATTTGCCTTTTACCCCTGTGAGCTGGAGATTTCTGTGGCTGATTTCTGTGCTTAACTGTTTGGATGTGGGGGAGGAGAAGACGAGGAGGAGACAGGAGGAGAGGGAGAAGTTGGAAGAAGAGAGAGAAGAGGGAGAGTGCAGAGGAGGATTAGAGAAGGAAGAGGAAGAGCGGTGCAAAGAAAGAAACCCCGCTGTTGGGTGGGAGGGGAGGCTCTCTCCGAGAGCAGAATGCTGGCTCTGACTACAGTAAGAAGTTCCAGCTTAGGAGAGAAGAGGCCACTGACACAGACCTAAGTCCTCTCCCTGGAGCTGATGGGGTGACAACAGCTAATTTAGTAACACAATGGGACTCCCCAAAGGTCACCCCTCCGGCCCCAGCAGGGCCAAGAGCACAACCTGGTACCCCTCCCCCAGGCTCTTCCATGCTACCTCTCTAGCAGGTGTGGCCATGCCAGCCTGACCCTGCAAGCTCCCAGCTTACCCGTGTGCTCAGACATCTCCATGCAGGTGTCCCCAGCGCTCTGACCAACCATCAGCTCCCTCCATCTCTCTTTCCCAACCCCCAAGGAAAAAGCTGTGGGAATGTGGCCTGATTAACCAACGAAAAGAACATGCTTGAAGCCTCAAAGCAAAAGCATGTCAGTGACACCACTGTTCTTCCTGTCTCCAAATCCAGACACTTGACCTTGTGTTAAAGCAGAGTCCAAAAGCTCCCAGGAGCTCAGCCAGGCTGACCCCTCAGTCAGCCTCTCCCACAGGCTGCTTGCTCCTCTGCCCATTCCACAGCTTGCTCTGCTCATCTCCTACATGGCCTCACAGCCTGGTCCCCGTCAGTTCCCCTCACCTTGCTCTCCTCCACACTGCACTCCTGCAGGGGAATGTCTGTGACCTGCTTCTGTGACCTCTGTCAGCCTTGCAGGCTGCGGGGGGGGGGGGGGGGACGGGGACACTGGTGCCCTGTGTTCCTTTTCTACTCTGTGCTTCCGTTTATATTTCTCTCCTCATAACCACACTCTCTGCATCTCCAAGAAAGATAATCCTCAGTGCTCCAAAGATTTCAACTTTTCTGCCCATCAGTAAACTATGTATCAAACTGCGAGGCTGGTTTTCGTGTGTGAAGGCTGTTTATATTCAGAGTTTGCCTATGCATGAAGACACAAGTGTCCAAGCTTACCCAGTCCAGGTTACACTGTAGCGTCTCTTGCACACTCCTTCACACCGCCCTGCCCATCTGAGCCCAATCTTTCCACCTCCCAGAAGCTCACAGTTGTGGAATCTAAGTCTCGGGCTGGCCCACGCTGGCAGACTTCCATCTCAGCTGTTTCATGCCCCTTGAAGTCTGATCTTCCTGAGGGCAACGACCGTGTCTTCTTCAGTTTTCACACAAGTCATCAAGTCAGAGAAATCATGCCTTTTTTCATGAATGTCTAATTTAGTGTCCGGACTGTGCTGGGAGAGGAAGCACATTTGTACCACAAGGATACTCACAGAGGGAAATAAGGGAAGGGGTTTCCTCATGACATCAGAATCAAATGTTGCGATCATCTCATGAGACGTTTGGTCAAGCGGAACAAGTCTCTCACCCCACAAAGAGACAAAAACTATTCCTGGTCTATGCCATTTGGCAGTGTTAGTACCAAGCCAGGACTGGTGACAGAGGAGAGCTTGCTCTTGGTGACAGAACCCTAACCCTAACCCTGAGATAGAGTAAAAAATTTTGAGCCAGGATACCAATGGCCAGCCTATAGAACAAAAGTTTCCAACCTGTGGGTCATGGCCCCTTTGGGGGGCTGCATATCAGATATTTACATAAATGGTTCACAACAGTAGCAAAATTACAGTTACAAAGTAGCAATTTGTTTTTCCCTTTTTGGTTTTTCAAGACAGGTTTTCTCTGTGTAACAGAACCTTGGCTGTTCTGGCCTTGCTTTATAGACCAGGCTGGCCTCGAACTCACAGAGATCCGCCTGCCTCTCCCTCCCAAGCACTGGGATTAAAGGTATGTACCACCACAGCTAGCAATGAAAGAATTTTACAGTTGGGGCCACCACAACATGAGGAACTGTATTAAAGGTCCCGCAGTACAAAGCTTGAGAACTACTGCTATAGAACTTTTGATCTGTTCAAAAATCAATAAACTATTATACATTTAAGAAGAGCTGAGGGGCGGGGGGCATGGTGACATAGTGATTTGGAGGTGGAGGCACGTGGGCCGAGAGTTCAAGGCCAGTATCTATTATTTAGTGAGTCTAAAGCCAGACTGAGCTACATGGAACCCCATGTCAAAGAAAGAAAGAAAGAAAGAAAGAAAGAAAGAAAGAAAGAAAGAAAGA